TGCTTCCTTCCACCTTTATACCAAATGCCCTTGGAGAGCAGAATGCTGCTTTACATTTACAAAAACAGAAGCTTTGTTGGTTTCCCACGCATTAATAACAATTGTGTATTTATTTTTTTTTTTAATCTTTTGAGATAACATACCTGTTTCTCTGCCTTCTAAGCATGTAAACTTTTACCCTAACTTTGAGTTATGAATATTCTGTTAATGTTCTACTGGGCTGCTGGAAGTCTGAATCTATTAGTGACTGCAGCCATGTTTGTTGAATGAAACAAGTTTACTGCAGTTTACAGCACTGCTATTCTGTGAAGGGAAGGGACTGTCCTGCTCTGGTACAGCCTCATCTTCAGCACTGGGAACAGTTTTGGGCAGCACACTTTAAGGACATAAAACTATTAGAAGGCACCCAAAGGACAGCAACAAAGATGAGGAAGGGTCTAGTGTGTGAGGAGCGGCTGAGGTCCCTGTGTTTGCTCAGCACAGAGCAGAGGAGCTGAGGGGAGGCCTGATGGCGGCTGCAGCTCCTCACAGGGAGCGGAGGGCAGCGCTGAGCTCTGCTCTGTGTGACAGCGACAGGGCCCGAGGGAACGGCATGGAGCTGTGTCAGGGGAGGGGCAGCTGGGGCTGCACCAGAGGGCGGTGGGCACGGAACTGGCTGCCCAGGGCATGGTCCCGAGCTGCTAGAGTTCATCCAGCAATTGTTCAGTGCTCTCAGAAAGACTTGATTTTTGGGTGGTGCTGTGTGGAGTCAGGAGCTGGACTTAATAATCCTTGTGGGTCACTAGCAACTCATAATGTTCTGTGATTCTATGATTCTCCATCAGCCATTAAACTCCCGTGACAAGAAGATGTTCCCTGATGAACTTAAAAATGGCAGAAGAAAGCGAATCACTTAGCTCTTCTCCTTTATAGATTTCTGCTACCAGTCGTCCTCCTTGGGGGACTGTGGAGAGCTGCCAGCTAATTCTGTGGACAGGATGGCTTCTAGACTTGCCTCTGATCTGCAAATGATGCTATTATTTCTTCATTATTGTCTACTGTATAAAATCAGCATCTTTCTCCCCAGAGGGAGATTGCTCAGAGTTGCTCATGAGAACCATTTAGCTCACAGGGGTGGGCCTGCTGAGGACCTACAATATTCCCATGTCAGGGTTAATCAAGGCACTATTAGTACCTCCTTTCCTTCCACAGTTACTCATTCAACTGTAAGAATACTAACGCAATTTAAAGTTTCTTCCAGAGCACTGTTGGCTGGCCTTCAGGGTTATTGTAATTACATGGAGAGATACTTCAAGGTTTCTGAGAGCACTGGGGTAGTAATTGCAGCTGGGGAAGGAGTAGGTTTTCAGTTACGCTACAGAAGTGCAGAATTGAAAGCAGCCGCTCCACATTCAGCACTGACCAAATACTGACTCTGCCCATGACCTCTGCCATGCCACCCGAGCTGCATATTGGAATTTTCCCATTGCATTCCCATCTGTAGAACCAAGATAATGCTTTTCATCAGCTTTGTGGGGATTTTTATAATTCAGTGTTCATGAAGGGAACAGAACTGCCAGCTACAAAACTTTCAGAGGCCTTGGAAAAACAGAATTCCAACAGAGAACTCTCAAAATGCACTGCAAGAGAAGACACTGTTCTTCTTCTTTTGTTACAAAATGAATAATTTAAGAACATTCTCACTTGCTGTCTTGAAACCATCTTTTACATGTCCCTGGGCAGAGCTGGAGGCAGCACGGTTTGCATGCCAGCTGCTGTTTGTTAGCCGGTTCAGTAACACTGTGGGCTGTGAGGCACTGGCTGTGCCAGCATGGCAGACAAGATGCTCCTCTGCGTGTTATCCCAGTATTAGAGTCAGGCTTATGCAACTGATTAATAACAAAAACAATGTATTTTCTTTGCCTTATGTGTATGATCTTGCAAGTGTAGCCATTGTGCATTACCTGCACTGCTCTGAGGCTGGACTTGGATTTGATCTAAATTATTCTTGCACTATTTCCATGGCATTCTCCCTCTCCTGGGGCCACTGCTGGCCGCAAAGTTCCCTATATTCAAAAGGAACCAAAATGGTATATTCTTCTAGAAAAACATTTGGATGGTTTAATTGTCTGCCTAGGTTCCTATGACAACCACAGCAAGACAAACAGCCTTCCTGGCAACCACAGGAGACCAAAATCTCTGCTCTCTCCCCTCCCTTCCCAATAACTTCTCAATTTAGAACACACTGTAACTGAATAAATATGATTAGCAAAAAAAAAAAAAAAAGAAAAAAAAAAGAAAGAAGTGGTGTCTAGTGTACAAAGCTTGCACTGCACTGGGGAAACCTTTTGCAAATGAAAATGTATTACTGTATTTTAAGATAACAGCCAACACACTGCCTGTTAGGTCAGTGTTATCAAAGTACCTTGGGATCAACTGTAAAGAGCAGTGCAGAGCTATAAACATACAAACAGGAGGGGTTTCTCTGTCAGCCCATGAGGTTGTGGCGAGCTGTAAAAGAAGCATGACAAAATCTGTCCTGGCGCCTCATAGCACCGCTCACCTGGCTGGCAGGCTATGCATCACAAATAGCTACACGTGGCAGAGCTGCTGGGGTTATGATGGCTGCAGAGATATGTGGCTGCATGCACATCGCGTAATGTGACCATATGCACTCCTCCATGTCTGCAGCTCACATCTTTCCAGCAAGAAAAGCATAAAGAAGACAAGAGCACAGCAGTGCAGAAACACCACGTGGCACAATCAATGCAAGCACAGCAGAAGCCATTTCTCTGAAGCTCCAGCATCACGGAAGATGGCAAGCAATGCAGCCCAAACAAACTGAGGTCCAGCAGATCCCAGATAATATAGCCTGTTTGTTCTTTCTTTAAGCAAAATTTCTGCCGAAAAACATGGCCAAAATTAATTCTGGACATTTTAAGAACCTTAAACCCATTCAGCCAATACTGGATGGCATTAAACCATCAGAACAAGTTACAAGGAGGCCATGTATGATACATTTAGTGGATGCTCACAACTCACAAAATTGTCTTTTAAGCTATTAAACTAGTTTCTCATTGTAAAAATACCATATATTTTTTAAATCCTTGTTGCTGTAAATTTTGCCTGTGACAACATAACTTTGTGAAACAAAGGGATTACAGTTCCAGCACAGCTGTAACTTCTTCACCAGTGCAGTTGGTCTCCCTTAGGAACCCATCCTCCCTACACTGGCAGAACGATACAGATGGCTCCTGCCACACTGAACAACTGGAAATGTAACTATACAGATTTCACCACAGCAATACTCTTGGTTGGAGAGGAAATCCTCTCTGTAGGACTAGTTTTGCTGTGAAACAGATTCAGCATTTGAGGAACCAGAGGTAAGAAGTCTATGATGTGAATCCTTGGAAGCCAGAATTCTGTAGTTATTCCCTCCAAACCATTATGTGGGATGTATGTGGGATGAGGAGGGAGATGCATGCCAGTCCCACAGGATGTGTAGCAGAAGGCAGCACCTGGCAGTCTACAGCTTGAATGACCAGATTGTAGAAAACTTCCTGATTATGCAGACCAGGTGGAGACAAGATTAGAACTTAATGAATTAAACACTAGACATGAGGATGCACACATAATCTTTGGAAAAAGAAATGTAGTTATTTCATTGGATTTCTTTCTTAAGGCAGGAAATTCACTTTAATGAATATCAATATAACAAATTTAAAACTTGAGTTTTTTTGCTTTAAAGATTTTGAACAGGCTCATTATGCTATGAAACTATTGTAGAATATATAAATATTGTATTCTGCAATTTGAACTTGAAATATTTTTTTCTTGTCTAATTTGCTCCAGTAGGCTGTACAACAAGGAATGCTCTGTGAGACTAAATCACAAATGTAAAAGCATTACTGATAACTATATTTTCCACATGCCATATAATAAGACTATCTAATAAATAAAGTTTATCTACCAATTATACCTTACAAACTTATGTGTCCATTTATGTCTTACTGTGTGCTTTTATGATTTTGATAAATAAAGAATAGTACTTAAAATTACAGTATATATGAGATGAATGTTGACAGAATATGAAGGCCTCTTTCTGTACCTGGAATGAGCCACTAGGCATAACACCCTAATAGTGTTGAAATCAAAAGGAGGACAGCTTTTCAGTTATTTTAGACCATTTTACAATTAGTTGACACCTTCATATCTTCCAAACTCTGTCCAGTATGACTTGCTACCCACTTGGATTTAATTTCTGAGAAATACATGCAAACAAAGAAAGACCAAACCTCCACACAAACTTCTGCATGTTTTCCAAGTATGTTTATAGTGTGCTGGTGGCATAGATAAGCCATGGCAAAAAGCTTTTATCAGCAGCAATTACACACTTATCAGCAGTGCTGTGATTTCACCAGGAATCTTTGTGCTGCTTAAGAAAAAGAGGTGTGATGTATTTTGCACATCAGTGGGTATTTTGCAGTTACATTGGGACTTTTCAGTGATTCCCACATTTTTACATGGTAAGTGCAATGTACATCATCTTGCCCATGTTAAGCACAGGAACACAGAAATGCAGCTACAAACCATGCTTTTGGCAATTGGAACTTTTCAGATTTTTACCATTTTAGATTCTTCAGCAACAAGGTTTCCTCATTAGGTCAATAATAAAAATGTTTCTTAATCAAAGTATTTAAAAAGAAAATTAATTCAGGGGATAGAAATGTGTATTTAGGAAATACCACCTTGAACAAATGAAGGCCTCTGGGGAAACTTAACTAATTGCTGATATACTTTTGCTACGGCAAAAGTGGCAGAACATGCAGAACCCACTAGGATAAATGCTTTTATTTAGGACATTTGTTAGAATGTAATTGCCCATTTATTTATAGTGCTTTTCTTTTTTTCTTTCAGAAGATCCTAGAGTAAGATTCTATCTAAAAGCAGAAGTGTTCTTGATACCACAAAATGTGCCATCAGTACAGCATAAGACCAGAAAATCTTGAAAAGTGACATACCTGCCCCAAGCGGCTTTCGTTGTAGAATGTTTATCAACAGGGATGCATGAGGACTCAACAACACTTGATTTATTCAGTTTGTAGCAGAGACCACAGTCCGGATCTAACATACATCCATTACAGTAACTGAAAGAGAGAGAAAGAAAGAAATACTTAAACAACACTTCATTTACTCGTAACTGTCAAAGCCAACAGCACTGTCTAATCATTCGTGGGATGCACATAATCAAGTTGTCAGTGCTGAAGACAAGATAATAGAAATGACCCAAAAGAGAATACAAATAACTTTCTCCTTCGTCTGCACGACATTTCAGCAAAGGGCAAGACTACTTGCAAATCTTGAGCCCTGTGAATCTTGATCAGGATTCAGGAGAATTCTCCTATGAAACCAATTTAAAAACAAAGATAGATTGTGGTTGAATAGAAAGAATAACCAAGCCAGGATGTGGGAGTCAGTCTGAAATTATATTTCCATGTGAGAACTCAGACAATGAATTCTAGGCAGAGTAAATATGTCAGTGGAGCCAATTCATATAGAGGCATCCAGTGCCCCAAAATATCCCATCTGCCCCTTACTCTGGTGAGCAGTGCTCTTTTGATCATTCCTGTGTATCATATTTGCCAGCTCCATAAATTTGACTCAGATTTCCTTGGGATTCTTATAGGCAAGAAATGCTCACATTGAGTTTGGTCAATGCATTCTCGAGAGTGATTCAAGTGACAAGGCTGCAAACTTTTCCAGACTCTTTATCATAGCAACGACTCAGTGAATGAAGAAATAATCTGCTAAAACTACTACACTGTAATCAGCAAGTGTAAAAGTGACTGGATAACAAAGTTCAAAAATCTAAATCAATAAAGTAGATTATAAGGATTTTAGAAATCCGAAAGCACGTTTACCATTGAGTTATTCTAACTTTCCTTACTAGGATGTTTCTAAAAGCATAATAAGGTGAGTTTGTATGATACTTGGCAAAAAGTCTTGAAAGTATTGAAACCAATGCACTAATTTGAAGTAGGCATTTTTATACTTCTCTGAAGTTTCAGCACCATGTACTCTTTGTTACTGCAGGCTTTCTAAATTATCAAATTATTGCAGAATTTCCAGACTGTCTGCTCTTCAGAAACTAAATGTACACCTTCCTCTTGCATAACTGAGAGCTCAAATTCAGTTTTCAACATCTAGCTTTTTTTTTTTTTTTTTTAATAATTTCATCAGCTCTTAGCAGTTAAGATTTCTTTCTTCTCTTGCATACATAGATAAAAAGAATACAGCTCTGCAATTATAAGCCTTGAAAGGAATAAAACTTCAATATTACACCAGCTAAAGTTAGTTGCATTTTGTTAATCACTTAATCACAGCAATGGACAGCAATCAAACAGGAACAGAAACGGAAGATAGCAGATTAATTTATTTTTTATATATTTTTAGATAAAATATTCTATATTTTTTATAAATCATGAATGTTCGGATATATAATAACAATTACAAAATAACTAAATTATTATAGCACCTACTAATGAAAAAAATGACACTGTATGATGTCAAACAGGGTGCTAGCATATGATTTTCAAACCACAGAACGCCATCCACCCCAGATACGTTGTATATCAAAGTATTTTTTAACAAAACAAATTTCTATAAAAACTCCTGTTCCAACTCAGCCTGGCTTCCTGGCACAGAAGGCTGCTACCTCCAAACACCGTGTGCTATCCAATGCAGTGGTGGATTTTCAAGTCAAATACATGCAAATTATATTTAACATGAACATCAGGTGGAAAATATGGCACATTAAAGTGTAAGATATAGGCAGGAGTTCTCTCAGGAGTATTACAGGATTGAAGGATCTCTAGATTTATCTTTCTTGGGTTTTACCTCGACAGAAATACAGCCAAGTACACAGCACCAGGCAGAACAGCACAAGAGCGCATAGGAATGACAATGAGACACAATGACGGGTATCATGCCTGTGGTGTTCCCTGAGAAGGATGGAACAGGGGTGGAACATCTCATCATCTACCTCAGCATCCTCACAAAAATCCACACACGATATGAATAGCAAAACTAAACCCTTTATTCAGTCCTACTGAGCTTGCTCTACAGATAACTACATATAACTACATAGAGAGTTGGGTATGGTCATCAGTCATGAAGCAGAACGTATCTCATTACAGAGAGAGTGGTGAGGTGCTGGAACAGGCTGCCCAGAGAGGTTGTGGATGCCCCATCCCTGGAGGTGTTCAAGGCCAGATTGGATGGGGCCCTGGGCAGCCTGGTCTAGCATTAGGTGGGATGGTTGGTGGCCCTGCGTGTGGCAGGGGTGTTGGAGATTCATGATCTCTGAGGTCCCTTCCAACCCTGGCCATTCTGTGATTCTGTGATTCATTAATTACTCCTTCTTCATCCACTGGTCCACAAAAAGTTAAAAAATTGATTATTAATGTCAGTGCCTGACTACAGGTCTGTTACTTCAGCTGTCCTCAGGCTTTATGAGTGTGCATAACTGTGTCCTGCAGTTGCTATTCAACATGATAAAGGCTGCTGGATTTCAAGTAATGTCAAAAGTCAACGATTATTGTTACTCATAACAGATTAACAATCCAAAAATTAAAGTAGACATAAAATATGTATTAGTTTCAAGCTTATGCTCTTCTTAACTTCAGCCCTATTATTGTTTGCTAAGTAGAAATGTTTAAACAATTTGAACTTGAGCCCGTATTCTTGCATACATGCTCACAGTGATGCAGACAAATCAGGAAGCACAATGAACCAGGAAAAGAAATGTACAATAGAATGCTTACTGACATCTAACTATCGACTACTGATCTCCTCCCTGTCCTCAAATGTACTTTCTTATCAGCCCTACCCAGATATACCCAACTGTATGTCAGAATAATGAAACAGAAAATAGAAATGCTGCTACTTATTCAAACACACACTGCCGTCCGGTTATGGCACTGAAAGCTCCATCCCAGAATACACCAGGATGTCTATGTTAAGAAGGATATTTGCATCCAATTATAAAAGGGAAATGCATTTCCTGCACTTTATCAGGACATATTGATTTCCATGCTAAGGTTACGAGGTAGCGTCTTGGAAACGGGCTCCTTTATGAAGAGCCAGCAGAAAATTTCCAGACAGAATGTTCTCAGTGAGGCCGTCAGTTTGTCAGGATTGGAATATCTGGCAGAGATTATTTGATTTTGATGAAGCCAGGCAGCAGGAAGGTTCTGCAGTGCACCTAGTGCCCTCACAGCTGGATCCTAGGCAAGCCAACAAGAAGGCAAGACTTCAGGTGCTTCAGCCTACCTAGCAGAGTAATGAGAGAACCAGGAAAGCAAGGCTCCAGAACTCCCTGCTTCTTTGCAGCTCAGTTGAATGAAGCCCTCAAAACAGAAGTCTCCGTATTCTGGCCCCTCAGTTTATTGGGAAGAGCCAAGGAATGGGATTTCTGGGATACTGCTTCATCATCAAAGCACATTTACCAACAAGCTGATGGACAGTTAGGAGACTGCCTGTCCCCAAACTTGTAATTCTCCACTCTCATGGTGCCAACTCAGCTGAGGCTTCCCAAGCTCTTACATTCTTTTCATCTGACCAAATGGGAATATGTGAAGCTTTGAAGGCCTGACAGCACTAGCTTTGAGATCCCTGGCTAGCAGTTTCCTGTCAGCCTGAGCACACAAGCTTTCAGGATGCAGCCTGCCCTATTAACTTTTTTTTTCTGAGGTTACAAGTTGACAATTCCTTCCTCTTTCAGAGAGGATGTGAAGCATTTAGATGTATAATTAATCAGCTGGCTGTGCACACCTTTTCTGAACCAAAAGTACAGCTTGCTTCCTTTCTTTTCGTTTAGTTCAGAAGCCTCTGGCACAGTCTCATAAAAAGATGAAATAAAATCTCTGTCCTGTTGAAATGACTCTCCAGATGCCAATGAAAGGTTGACAATTGCTTCCCCCTACTTTTCTTTCCTCCACTGTTTAAAGTACTCCACGCTTACGTTTGGATAGTCACTAGATTTTGTGTTTTAATATTGATAGAAGTACTTCTAAGTATGGCTTTCTTACAGCTCTCAGGGGTCTCCTAATTAGAGCTGCAAACTGTACCTTGCCAATTTTTGTTGAGTTGAGTTTGATTTAGTAGTAAAAAGTTTTGTTCACTGTTCTTGTTCTTCAAGCACTGCTACTCTTTCTGTCAAGCTGTTTTACATTTCTTCTAGCCAAGCCTCAAATTCTGAATTGTTAATTTCAAAACATTTTATCAGTTTTCACTTTTGCCTCATTTTTAGGAACTTTCAGCTTTCTCTTCCACATTTTGCAGTTATAAAACTGTATTACTATGAAAATCTGATCCACTCACAACATGCAAGACATTTTCCTCATGCCCTGACAGACTTGGTCTTTTCCATAGAGGCAATTTCAATGTTGAGTGCCTGCTGAGCTCCACTCCTGCTCATAATCCTGAACAAGGTTTTCCTCGTAGAACTGCAGGAATAGTAAAAAGCATCTCAAGCAGCAGATGCTCGACATAGGAATAGTTGTTGAGGAGTAGCAAATGTCACCAAAGAGAACACAAGCTGGAAATCACTGCAGACTGGAAGGGGATGTCACTTTGTGCTCTTTTCTGCTCTTCCCAGCTTGCTGTTCATAACTCTGAAGTCATGTTCTAGGCTAGATGGGTCTTTGATCTTAGCTGGCATGCCTTCATGTTTACTCTTTGCTCTCAAAATCAGTTATGCATACAACCCTCTACCTCCCCCCACTCCATCTCTGTGCACAAACTCCCATCAGTTAGGCGGTAGGAACTTGTTCAAGACTGTGTCACACTTGTGTTCAAGGTCTAGTGCTGTTTGCATGTGCCTCGTTGCACCTCAGGCACAAAAACAAGCACTTCCTTATTCTTCTGATGATTCCTGCGTTGTTTCCGAAAGCCAACCATTAAATTCTGATTGATCGTATACCACTGAGCAAAGAATACGGGGGGGATACTTTAAGTAGTTAAATCCTTGGAAACTGCAAGCTACTACTTCAAGCTGCCATATCTGGGACACAGGAAATAGGATATTCAACACAAATGAGAAAAACACAGCAGGGCTTCAGAAGCATTTTTCCACTACTGCAAGAAACTAAACTACAGAAGCCTATTTGCTGGGCTCTGCTGACAGTCTGAGAGGTAATGCATACACGCACCTGATGTGCTTAGGTCCTCATGGCTGCACCCCGGCTGCCAGAAGCAGCCTGCCAGCAGCTGGTGTGCTGGGATGCTGACCCACACACACAGTATCTCATCTACGCATATGTGAGGATCTATCCTCTCTCAGCTCAGATTATCTTTCTTTCTGAATTTATACTTTAATAAGAATCATATACTGGTTCTGAGGTATATTGACATTATGAAGGATCCTGAACTCAGACTGTTAATGAGTTAACTCGGAAAAATAAAGTACAATAGTTTGCTCTATTTATATAAATATTAATGGAGTATGTACTTTATTTTTACTAAAGCTGTTTAAAGCATTATAACCAGTCTTAGTTCAGGGCTGGTCACAATAAAACATTTTTGCTAAATTCATAAGGAAAGTAGATACTTTTGCCTTTTGTCTATCTAGTATAATTAATGTGTAACAGTAGTTGGTGTTGGAGCCTTCAGCTCAGTGGTGTACAGGCATACATTGAACTCAGGACCTCGAACCATGTGAGGATGACAAAGTCAAAGAAGAACAAGGGAATCCTTGTGTGCCCAGCCCAGCTGGTGCAGCCCGGATTGTTTTACTGAAACTATGGAGACAACCAGTTTGGGAAGGAACCTGAGCAAGTTCTGTGTAGGTATCATTTCCCTAAAGTATGAGCTTCAGGGTCAGCCTGAGATCAACCCCAAATTTACCATTTTCACATAGCAGCATTTCTTAAGCAGAACAAGTTCACATTATGCCTTGTACAGCTGATCAAATCTTAAGCAGTACAGTAAAAGAAACACTTGACTGGAGGAAGATAAAAAGGCCAGGAACACAAGGATACAGGACAGTGGTCACTGTTCAGAAATGGGTCAGTTTCCCAAAGAAAGGTGGAGTGGGATGGCCACCTACAATTTGTTGAATACTGGAAAAAGACAGAAGCCAGCTACTGCACCTGTCCTAGACTTGACCTCTTTTCAGAAGCAGGCAGGACCCCATAAAACTGGGAACATCTTTACAGCTTTGAGAATTGAAGAAAACAGCAGGAGAGGCCAGCTCATCTTTTCTCAATGACAGATTTTGGAATCCTGCTGTTCTGTACTCCTGCATTTACCTCTGAACTTCTCTCTGTCCTTGAAGGTAAGTAATAGATTGCAGCTATTCTTTGAACAGACTCAGATCAAAGAAGAGACATGGTCACACTGCGAACACCTGCACAGCCCTACCTGGGCTGAGTGTGAAAATAAATTTTGATTTAAGGGCAGTACATAGGAAGGTGTTCCTCTTTTCCTTCCTCGGTGAGACAGCTGTGAGAAGGTGTGGAGGCCTTCAATGGCCAGGAGTTATGCTGCCTCCATGATGACCTTGTGAATAAAGATTACATCTGATTTTTTCACTGCTTTATGCATTATTTTTTGTCTGTTGCTCCACTATCATATTGTACTTCTCTACAGCAAATGAAAATATTTTACTTGATATTTGCAGAGCACCTTATTGGTTTGCATTCTGCAAAAAACATGTGTCTGTCTGCAGGGCACAGCTCTTTCAAAAGATAGTATTCAAGCCCTAGGTGTATTTTTCAGGACGCTGTCAGTACTCTTTATTTGTCAGTCTGTTGTATCTTCATTGCTATTCTTCCAGCAGCAGGAATTAATCTGTACAGAGGAATACAGATCAAGGGAACAACAAACAAACAGGCTATTTGTAGTAGTTCTAAGGCTTCCATCATGGACTCTCATGCTTATTTTAACCCAGCAGATCTGCAAACATAAAAAGCACTTGTACTCTGCACCGTATCAGCAAAACTTTTGTCAGCAAAATAAATTTTGCTGATGTTGTTTTAATTTACAAATACATTTTGGCAAAGATAAATAAAAGTGATATTTGGGACTCTCCCTACACTATGAAGCATCCAGTCTACACAACGGTGTAGACCCTGGAAAGTGCACCTCACCCCAGAGAAGCCCTGCACCACGCTAGCTGAAAGACTGCTGGCTGCATTTGTGCAGGGACACTAATTGGAAAGTGGTTACAGTGGCCACAGGGACATGACATTACATGTTCATCTTCTGAAATCCTACTGGCTTTTGGTTTTCCACAAGTTCCTGAGACCTATTAGAGGCTTGCAAAGTACAATACTAAGCAATATGAGATATCAGCAGTTATACTGAAGTGAGCAAAACACGGATTAAACAGCAATAAACCCTTGCAGGGGACATACGAAAAACTAACTTCCATCTTCTAACAGGTTGATTGGTGAGGATGCCATCTGCTTGCTCACAGCAAAAACATTTCTTAAAATTTAACTCACTGACCACGTACACAGAAGGCAGCCCACTGTTATCTCAAATAGCCACTTCTTCAAGGTGTATACAGTGCATATTTCTATGTCATCCACTCTAAAGATAATTTAGATAAAGGAATAAACTAATCCATATGCTGTCTGTATAGCTACAAGAACTCAGCAGAAAGGCATGCTGAAACCAGGGTGCACTGGGGATACCACTGGGGATGAAATGCTCAAAGTTGTTTTTTCTTCCCTTGATCCATGCTAAAAAAGAGATCAGCATTTTGTGTAATTCCTGCTATCTGGGCTGAAAACACTTGGAATTTTGAGGCTTCTGGTACTTAGGCAGAGGCTGCCATTGACTTCCATACTGGACATTGAAATTCCTTATTCTGAAGGAGTACAGTTTGGGGATGTTTTAAATCAGGAAAATTGATATCCCAAACATATAAATTTTTATACACGTGTGTGAAAGTCATCACTCACAATGTAAATGCCTATTTTTTATTGAATCCTTTTGAAGAGTGGGTGCTGTAGCCTAATTCTGTGATTTGTGGGCAGCTGCATACATATATTAGTTTCAACTCACCTGGCTTTTGTGTCTCTTTCCAAAGTTATAGTACAAGATGAAAATTGAAGCTCCTGAAGGTCTCTCATATACTGCTCACTATTTTACATTTTATACTATTTTATACTATGTTCAGTTTTATCTAAGAGAACTCATTCTTTTTCAAAATACACCCCTATGAAAATGTCATTGATTTTCTTGCTCTTATCTAGATCCCTTGAATTATCATATCTGCTTTTGCTCTCTTTATGTCAGAAATCACAACAGATTAAAGCATTCCAATAATCATTAAATAATGTGCCTTTATTTGAACTACTTGCTTTATTTGGTCATGTTTTTAGCCAGAAGTGCTTACAATACTGAATGTGAACTACCCATATTTCTTACATGCACATTTGTATACTGTTTCAGGATATGTAATCATATACTTTCATTAGATAGCAAATAACAAGTTCTGCAAGTGGTGCATCAGCTGTCTCCAGAATTCTTGTGCAAACAGTTAACCAAAGTCTGAGGCAAATCCTTTCGACATCTTGCTATTAACATTTTCTTACTTTTAAAGGAGAGCATTTGAAAGCTCTTTTCCCCATCTTCATTCTTTAACTAGTTTAACTCGTAGTTTAAATGACTCTATAGGCATATCTAAAAAACAGCAATATAGCTGACATCGCAGTGGAAAAAAAAGTAAAAACACAGCTTCTGAAAGTTCTGATCCTCATATCTGGTAGTATTCGCATCTGTGTACTGATCAGAAGACTTTCCTTCCTGTCCACATGGGTCTGTGAAATTTCAGTTCCTCAGAATCATTGTTCTAGCATATGAAAAGCCCTAAGCCATATTTCTAAGCAACACCTCCAGGAGACCAGAAACATACCATTCATTTCTCAGTTTTATCTTTATAACCAACACATGTACAACATGTTTTGAACTTAAGAATTTCTTCAGCCATGTAGCCAGTTTTGTCTCTATTAGGAAACTGACATTTACCAGCCTGCCAGTTAGGTGAATGTGCACTCACACATGAGTAAGAAAACACAAAATATAGAAAATGGCACATGACACCTTAGAAATTATCTTATTTGAAACCACACTTGAATACGGATGGGAATGTTTTATATTATAGAATAAAAAGTCAAAAAATCAGATTTGTTTTAACTGTTACTCGGTCTGTAATTACTATTATTGGAAAGATGTTTGTTGTTTGTATGGTGCTAAAACAAAAAGCAAGGAACACATCTTTTTGAACAGTTCATAGCTGTTACAGATGATGACTCTACAAGCAGACGAATAACAGCAACCATATTTGCAAATTACTTTTAAAATATTTCAAACTTGGTGTCCACTGTGAACTTCAGCAGGTCTGATATAACAAAGAAGATCTCAAGTATGCAGTCTAGTGCTTAACTGCTCTACTTCATCCAAGAAACTACAAAGGATTATTCACAGCATTTTAAAAAAGAGTCTAATTCTCTTCTCTATTGAGGGAAGTAAAGATTTTAACTTTAGGTATCCTACTGAATTCCTTAAACTAGAGTGTGTGAATACTTATCCATTGCCCACATGAGGCTATAAAATCCAATTAGCTGGAAAAAAAGTCTTCAAGAAAGACCATGAAATCTCACCTGTATTTTGTGCAGGTAGAGTTTTGATGTGAAGGATCTGGTGGATTAAGTGTGACTCTTGGCGAGACCTGAGCTGACAGCAAAAATCCCGAAGCTAGGATAATGAGTGCTACAGCAGTGCCTAAAAACACAGAAAAAGAACAATATGATACCTTTCTCCAGAAAATATGAAATAATTCTCTACTGAACTGAGCTACGCTTGAGAAAGCAAGGTACCCAATTATTATGCACACAGCATTTGCCGTTACGCAGAGCAGTTGTGATGAGAACCTGAGAAGAATACCCTTTATACTACATCTTCATCTTGAATTGGGTTAGATATTGAAGTCAAGTGAATCAGGTTTAACATCCAGATATTCAATTAATGGGTCAAGACTTTTTTGTCATATGTGGAATTGAAGGCTGCTTGAATGAACAGACAAACTCTTTTCAGGTTGAAAAGTGCTGTAAAGGTAAAATTTAACAGCAGTGTTTCCATCACATTTCCTCCCATTCCCAGACTTGCAGGCTTTCCTGTAAGATAAAAATAGCATCAGCTTTTCCATCAATTATTCTTCCCTTTGTCAAACAAGAGCAATCTGACTATTCATAGGAATGCCACAAAAATGTCCAACTGCAGTTTCAGAACTTCTTGTTTCATGGATTGCATGTAACAAACCTGATAGGAAAGAGCCCCTTCCACCTCTTTGCTCCTGGCTCCAATAAATTTCTTGTACACGCACAAGATTCCTACTTTGTAAAACAGGTCATTGCCTGAGCTCTATGCAGCATTGCTATTTGTCACACACACACAGCACATGCTGCATCATTTTAATGAAATCAATATAATCCATTACTGAGTATTGCAACCAACTTCAACTCAGACTAATGAAATCTTTACATCTTGGTACTTGGTGAGTCATTTAATTCAATGCTGAATAAAATACACTCTATATCACATAAATAGCAAATATGCAAGTAGGTGTATTTTGAGAGGTCCCACAGACCATCATGTATAGACAACCAAAAATACAGAACTACTTGTAACATTATTTGTGGATTAGTTACTGATTGTTTAATAACATTTTCCTTACATACAAAAACTGCATACAAAAACTGAATCAGGTACCACCAAAGAACATTCCAATTGTAATGCATTCTGAAGTACCCAATGTCATAGCCTGAGGGTAAATAAAAATATTCAATCCAAAAAAATGTCTCAGCAAGCCTTGCTCTACATGATAGAAATTCACAGAACGCACCTGTGCAAACCTTTAAAAATGTCACTGCATTGAAAACCTTAAAGTGTCACTCTCACTCTTTAAGAATTACACATTCTCCATTTTTACTTTTTGATTCTTAATCTTTTCTCTCTCAACAAGACTTTTCTAGCAGGCAAATCCTTCAAGAATAGGATTTTTTTTTCTCAAGTATAAATAATATCTTAGGCACCAAGATAATAAAAATATAATTCATTAACGTGTCTGTGCAGCAACCATGGCTAATAGATATGAATATGCATGAACTCAAGATTACTGGAATGCAGTTACCTGAATGGAGGCAACTGAGATCGTAAATTCAATCACAAACCATATATGAGACAGCAACTATCCACCAGAAAATATAATTTGAATTTATTCTATACTGGGCTTTGTACTGCTATGGCGACCAGCTATGCTGATGATTCCATTTTTCTGGGCAGGTGCAATATTGTACTAGATTTACTGTACTTTCTGTATTTACTAAGCTTTTAAAATGCCATGAACCAGACAGCAAATATATTTAGAGAGGACCTATAATCTTATTTATATTCATTCTAAATATGTCATGTCTTTCTTTCAAGTTAACTAAATACACAAATGTGCAGTTACAGTACCTCTGCACGTCTTATTTCTTTGGAGAAGTACTGAAACTATAAAATTGGTGAATTAAGTTTATTATATGTTGTTATTCTGTGGAAGGTTTGTTTAAGATTTGCAAAAACAAATTGAAGTATGCCATTAACTGAGATGAAAAAAAGGATAAATATCTTGAAGATATTCTAGATCCATTCTGCTACAAACAAAAATACAAACTGTCAAATGCCCAAATACCACCATGCTTTCAAATTGCCAGTTTCTGAAGGAACGAAAGGAAAACACAAATAAAATGAATTACTGGAACAAAATTCCAACATTTCACAATGAATAAAATTGAGAAAAGAAACATACAAAGAGGAAAAGAAAGATGGAGAATCGTTGCCGAGATACATGAAGGGGAAATTAAGAGGAATCAGTAACTAAGGGTATGTTGATATTTAATCAAAATATTAATCTTACCATCTTTTTACAAAAACAAATCCATTAGCCTTTAGAAAAAAAAAAAACCAAAAAGCAAAACCAGCAACCTTACAGCAGCAAACAGAGGTAGCTGGGTAGTTCAACCCTAATTTTATATTAGGGCTCACATGTTTTCCCCAGAGAAAAGCATCCAGTGTAATAACTCCGTGTGAAAGTTGATTTCCTTAGAAACATGAACCGAAGTAGAGCAGTAATACAGAAGTTTATCTGAGATAAAAAACTTACTGTTGAAAACAAATCCATCAGCTGATTTAGTAATTATCATGTTAGCCCACTTGCTGAGAAAAGAACATCATACTCACCACTACCTAAATCTCTGCCAACGCTTGTATCAAGAAATTCTAAATAGCACAGACATGACGTGGGCTTTCATTACTGTCATTACTGCTGCCATATTTTCCTTAAGCAGAGACCATGCAATACTGAGCACAGTGAGAATGCAGCATGGATCAAGTGATGCTGCAGACTGACAGCGGGCCGCCAACTACAGAACAAGGAACACAAATATCATTACTAATGACTTCATGTCCAAATACCATAAACAAATAACCCTTAACTGCGTTATTCTCCTTTGCTAATTCGGTGTCTTATTTCTACCCTCTCATCTGTTCCATGACTCATATGCTTTGAAAGACACATTACTATCTACATTCAATCTTACAACCTTTGAATACATCAACCAGAGCCAAAAAGAAGAGTTCAGTGATTGTGTACAAAATCCACATGGTAATCACACCTGTATGGTAGTTCCAGACAAGCAGTGAATCCCCATAAGGCTGGCCAGACATATGAGGTGTCATGGCATGACACAGAAATATATAAAAACAGAATAAATTCTATTAGAGTATAAATGAGATAGTGCCCACAAAACAAGTTTCAGGAGAATGCTAGAATTGTATTTCACAGAAAGAAAAAACAAAAAACAAAAAACGAAAGAGTAATCAAAGGAAAAAAGGAATTGAACCAGGTAACAGTACAGGACTGGGGCTTTTTTCTCTGAAAGACGTGATACTGGCTACACAAACGAGCCCACAGAGGAAATGTATGGTGGGCTGATAAAAGGATGTCATCCAAAGTTCAAGGTGATGCACTTGGGTCAGGGCAGTCCCAGATATGTGTACAAACTGGGAGAAGAACTGCTTGAGAGCCGCCCTGTGGAGAAGGACTTGGAAGTCCTGGTGGACAAAAAGCTGGACACAAGCCAACAGTGTGTGCTTGCAGCCCAGAAGGCCAACAGTATTCTGAGCTGCATCAACAAAGGGGTGGCCAGCAGGGAGAGGGAGGTGATTGTCCTCCTTTGTACAGCCTGAAAAAAAGGCTCTGGGGAGACCTCACTACAGCCTTTCAGTATCTAAACAAAGCTTATAAACAAGATGGAGGCTGATTCTGTACACAATCTGATAGTGATAGGACAAGGGGGAATAGTTTTGAAATAAAACAGGGGAGATTTAGGTTAGATGTCAGGAGGAAGATCATTACTTAGAGAGTGGTGAGGCCCTGGCACAGCTGCCCATAGAGCTGTGGGTGCCCCATCCCTGCAGGCGCTCAGGGCCGGGTTGGATGGGGCCTGGGCAGCCTGAGCTGGTGGGGGGCAGCCAGCCCACGGCAGGGGGTGGGGATGGGTGGGCTTTGTGGCTCCTTCCAACCCAATACAAACCATTCTGTGATTCTACATAAAGGTAACCCTCTGAGATTTTTGTTCATTTTTTTAAGATGTGAGGAATGTGCTTTCTCAACCTCCCTCCATGTCTGCATTCTGAACTTGGATCATGAAAAACATTTTGGGTTTCTCAGCTCCAAATCAACACATCAAACAACACATCAAACACAGATTTCTTACAATCTGAAAATACCAAACATGCCACAAGTCCATGTCATAATTTACCAGTTTAGGTAACTGTATCAAAATACACTCAATACTGCCATCACTGTTTGGCCTACGAGAAGGCATCCAAATGCTGTGGGCAGACGGATACCTGCTCTGGGGGACTGCAGGTGGGCAGGGCTCTGGCAGGTGTTCCTCTCCGCTGTATCACATCTGCAGCAAGACTGGGTCCCACACAGGGACAGCAGAGTGAGATACAGAGACATTCAAGCTTGCCAGCTAAGCAGCTGTGAGCATTAATCCAAGAGGAGCAAGAATCTCTCTCCTTCTTCCAGACCCTGGTCTTGCAAATACCACGGCCTTCAGATGTTCAGCCAGAGTCTGCCACCTGTATTGTACTGCTATTCTTGATAAGCTACATGATTTCAGCGAGGAGACAGGACTCAACATCATTACTTTGAAGAGGATTACTTCAATAAAGTTAGTGCTTGGAACGTCTTTGTTTCATTCGTGTTACCGTGAGGAAGGCACATCTCACTCCCGAGGCACTCACCTGCTAAGCTGCCCAGTGTCAGCTTCCGGCGGCCCATCCTCTCAACGAGCCAGACTCCCACCAGAGTGAAGATGAAGTTGATGAAGGCCGTGAGGGCAGCCAACCAGATTGCCAGCCTGTCATCCTCTACCCCCGACATTTGCAGGATGGTCGCACTGTAGTACCTGCGGGCGGGAGGACACAGACATCACTGGTGTGAGTTTGCCTCCCATTATGCTCTGGTTGAAAATCAAAGGAGATGACAGCAAACATCAAGTGTGAGCTCCTGTGAACACGGCCCCAGCCTGACACCAACCACATGGGGAAACCAGGCGTTGCCATGGCACGGCTTGCGCTTGGCTGAAGTTTTGACAGAAGGACACTGAGAGATGAATTGCCATTCCTTTGGCTGTTTGCATTTCCCATGCTCAATCATATTCTGCTAAGAAATTAGGTCTGCACTTCTTATTTAAACAAATCTGCACAGCCACTGCTTTATGCTCTTCTTTTTTCTGCCAGAACGTGGGATTTCAGCACTGTGTACTGTCTAGGGAAAGAGAGCTCAAAAATGAAATCTGTTTTTGCTCCTATTAAAGGTCACACAGAAGTAGTCTAAGGTACCCAACACATCACAACCGCCTCACCCAACCTTCTTTAGGTTTCAGGCTGTGTAGCTTTATTCCCCTATGGCTGTGGTGCCTCACAGTGCCCACTGCATCACCTCTGTCCAGCCAAAATCCCATCGTCTTGAAACATGTTAGCACCATATTGCAGGAACACGAATCTGCACCAGACAGGAGCATTTGACACAAGCTTCTGTTTCTTTTTAGAAGGAATTGACCATTTCACACAAATGATAACTTACGTATTACTCAGGTGAGCAAAATGAAAATAGAAGGAATAAATAAAGGAAATCTCCTATTGCTTTTCACAAAGATTGGATGAATACAGATACTGAGCCTGCGTTCCCAAGGAGAGCTCAGGAAAACACACGAGCAGCTTTGTTTGTGTTGCATAAGCAGTTTTCTTCTTGTTCTGTTAATTTGTGCTGACTGCAACACTGTATATTCTGTCATTCAAACACTTAACAGCCCACGGGCTTTCAGGCAGTAATAACTGCCAAAAATATCAAAGCTCCGGTTTCTTTTTCCCCTGGGTCAAAATGCAGCTTGCTTTCAAAGCCACCCCATTGCCTTAATGCCCAGATGTGTTTTCCCCAGAAGTTTCAGTGATCAACGTGTTTTTAATTCTAAGCATAAACCGCTTTTTATTTCAAACCAACAACCCAAGATGGACAGCGGGTTCAATGACTGCTCGTAACAGTGCCTGTGTTCAGAGCTCCATGGACAACCTAAAGGCTGGAACATCTCTTTTAGGCTCAGTTTGTCTGAAAGAAAAGACTGAGTCCTTGAAACACAGCAACATGTAGTATATTGGTACTATATAGTTAGAAAAGCAAAGAATAAAGAATGACTTAATAGCACATAGATGTTCAGTTCCAGTCACACAGAAACAGGCGCCTTCCAGACCCAACACTTGTCCGAGTTGCTTTCTGCAATGGTTATCCTTCTCAGCTAGAAGCTCACTGCTTACCCACAAATAACACATTTCACTTCTATGGAAAACAAATGAGGGAAATCTATAATCTGTAAATCCAAATAACACGCTAACACAGCTTGCCTGCGGGGCATGATGCTAATGTTTATTACAGCACAGCAATCAAATTTCAGAAATTTAGAAGAATACTTGCATAGATGAGTACTAAATATATATTTGCTTATGCCAAGCTATTTCAGAATTCCCACTTTTAATACCAACCTGTGCAGCCCTAACTGCCTATTAATGCAACAAGATCACGAGTCTTGCTAATTTTTTCCTGACAAGGAGAAAAACTGTGTGGCAGAAAAAGGTCAGGCTGTGATATTATACAACCACAGTAAATACTGCAGCTCTTACAGGAAATGCAAAGTCAGTGACAAAGTTTGGCAGTCCTAATTTATTTTCTAAAATCTACAAAAAATGACAAAAGCACACACACACCTCCTTGGAATTTTAAAGCAAGCACTTCGTCTTTAGAAGCAGAAAAATACAGACAATCACAAAAGCAAACAAACTGAGTCAGACACACGCCAAAAGATTTTAATATTGATCATTTCCAGGGATGTCAAAACTACGAAGTTGTTCTATCAAGAGCAAAAAACAACTCAGGCATTTCCACAGACATTTCCCTGGACTGATCTTTTCACTGAAAATGTGCAGAAATGTAACCCGCACACACTTTCCTCTCCCACTTCCTTTATGGTCATTTTAAAAATGCCTGCATGTACTGTTTATAGAAAATGAAAATGCCCCCTTCAAGACAATTTCAAAAGCATCAAGTCCCAGGTTAGCTCACTCAGTAGCAGGAGATCACACCAGGCTTTGTAGCTCTCAATCAACCACCCAGAAAAGCCTCTCCAACAGCTGCCAGGTTGTCTGCATCACAGCTTTGATTGCCCCAGTCCTTCAGGAGGAGCTGCTCCAGCCCATCTGTTACAGCTAACAAAGTTTCTGTCCAGTGATGTTGACCATCGTGGACAGAATTTGTCATTCTTGTAAAACTAATGAGTAAAGCTAAATAACTCAGAAGTAACCTTAACCATATTGAAACCATTTATTTTTTGTTGCTGATTTCAAGAAAATAAAGATCTAATACTCTGGCACTGGTTTGTTGAGTTTTTCTAGCACAATATTTTGGAAATCAGTGTCCAATTACTCAAACTACTCAGTCCAAGAAAAACAGTCCATGCAGATAATGCATCCCTCCATCTTCCTCCTCAATTCAGTTGGAATAATGCAAAGTGAAATGCAAGGAGTGCCACAGCCAACAAACAAATGATTAAATATTGAAGAAAATCCAAAATGGTGAAAATTTCTGCAGGTTCACACACTCTTTTTCTACAGTTGTGCTTAAACACAGATCCTCTCTTTGTGCCCTACCAGTTTACTGAATGCCATGCCTACTGGACTGAGAGACAAGACCGTTCAAAACAAAGCACACTCCACATTCACAAAAACAGTAGTCTTGTTTCTGCACCTTGATGATGCTTCTCTCTTCCTTTAGGGACTACTAAAGCTTACTGCCACCAAATCTGACGATTTGCCTTCCTTTAGGTAGTAAGGCTTATTGTTCCTAACTATTCTGGATATTAAAGGTGCTCAAGAAAGAGCAAGCACAAGCCTGAAACTCTCACTGCAATTACTGCTACTGGAAAGAGGCCAGGCACACTGAATATGGCAGGTTAGAGAAAGGAGAATTGTAGAAGCTTGAGCACAGCTTCCAGAGCAAGCCTTGTAGAGCAGCACACTTGCATCTGCCTGTCACATTCATTTACATAGACACTAAGAAAGAGGGTTTATTTAGAAAGATTTAAGCTCACTTTTTAATGACTTCAGAATTACTACAGCATCACCAATACATTGAACTGCGGCACCTCATCTGTGTCAATGATCTCATAGAAACAGCAGAAGAAAGCAAGAGCAGCATATGGGAGATAAGGTGCCAAAGTACTGGAAATGAAAACAAGATGGGAAGAAGCTGATGTATCTGGAAGGAGCCAAACACAGCACATGTTCCAGGTATGGCAGATGTCAGGCAGGTCTTGCTAAGCACCAGATGAGGACTGGGAAAGGAAAACAGGCACACTGGCAATTTGTTTATGGTTTTTGAAATATGGATTGCAAAACAAGATAGCAGCATTTATCAGTAATTAGAGTGTTGGATAACATGGTTCAGTGGCCCAGCTTCATGTCCTCTACAGCAGAGTGACTAGGGAGCTGTTCCACTTTCCATTTCCCTGCAGAACAACTGTGGATCCCAGTTTGGAGAATTGAGCAATTACTGAGACATTGCTGCTCCCTTGTCTATAACTCCTATCCTGTCTGTCTAATCTCTCATCTGTCTTTGGTCAAGCACTGGAATGGGCTGCCCACGGAAGTGGTGTAGTTACCATCCCTGGGGGTATTTAAGAGACATCTAGATACAGCACTAAGGGACATGGTTCAGTGATAGGACATGGTAGGTCAGGTTGATGGTTGGACCTGATAATCTTGACTGTCTTTTCCAACTGAATGATTTGTTTCTATATCAGTAAGACCTATTATTTGATAGTAAGATCATTCCAGCTCTTCAGACCCAAAGGCAACTGGACTTAAGCTATAACACAGGACTTCTGGATATACATGAGTTTCCTTTATCGTCAACATAAAAAAGCCTGAAATCATACTGAAGTCTTCCAATTCATAGCAGATGCTGCGGATTTACAGGATGCCAATTCAATTTACAGCTGAATGTTCTTTCTATAGTCCTCCTTAGAGACTTAAGAAGCTCTCAAAGGAAAAGGTGGCTGTATCATCTGAAAGACTACACTGGATTTTCCAAAAACAGTGCCTAGGAGGAAACCTGGGGCAGTGCAATTGTGTACCTACCCACATTAGTTATACCTTCAAATTCCCCGTTTAGCAGTAATGATGCATTATGTTATAAATGCTTTTAGCATAAAGTAAAATGACACAGTGATTAAAATCAGTTTATTTTGGTAATAAAAACCCTTAGAATTTGGTCCTGTTTTTTTCTGATAACTCCTTACATCCAGCAGGTTCTCTGATTCATCTTATATATACATGCTGCACGGGCAAGACACATGCAAATATTTCTAGGTTTATCATTTTATTATGCTAGGAAAACACTGGAATTCTTTTTGTTTGTAAAGAGTCTTATTTATACAGCTCCTAAACAAAGTTAAAATACCAGTGTTTGGCAGGGATTAAAAATACCTTCAGAGGATTAAGAGCACCAGGATACACAAAGGAACACTCACTTTCTTAATGGAATGGAATTCTGTCACAGAGATATTTGGCCATTTTAAAACACTGTTGCAGTATCTGCTGTGAAATTGGGGAAAAAAAAACATTTTCATTTTTCTGCTTATACACTCTGCACCAGATATGTCTCTGCCACACGTTTTACACTCAAACATACCCACCTATATTGGGTCTTGTACAGACTTCACAGTTTTCACATGAAACTATAGGGGATAGAAATCGTTTTCTTCTTCATAATAGAAAAGTGGTAAGATACAAAAGAAGGATTTCAAACTGTTATTTAAAAGGAACAAGAAAGGAAGAAAAATAATACCAACCCTAT